GCAGATGACAGTACAGAAAAATTAGCAGTTATTTATTTATGAGACAGAGCCTCACTCTGTCACCCCTCTGGAGTATAGTGGCGTGATCTCGGTTCACTGCAACCTCTGCCTTCCGGGTTCAAGTGTTCCTTCCGCCTTAGCCTCCCAAGTAGCTGGGACTACAGGTGCCCGCCACCAAGCCTGGTAATTTTTTTATTTTTAATACAGACGAGGTTTCACCATGTTGGCCAGGATGGTCTCGATCTCTTGACCTTGTGATCCACCTGCCTTGGCCTCCCAAAGTGCTGGGATTACAGGCATGAGCCACCGTGCCTGGCCTAAATTACCTTTTATTTAAAAGCAAAAAGCTCATGAATTTATGCAGATATTCTAAACTTTTTTTTTTTTTTTGGACAGAGTCTCACTCTTTCACCCAGGTTGGAGTGCAGTGGCATGATCTGGGCTCACTGCAACCTCTGCCTCCTGGGTTCAAGCAATTCTCCTGCCTCAGCCTCTCAAGTAGCTGGGATTACAGGCGACCACTACCATGCCCAAGTAATGTTTTCTATTTTTAATAGAGACGGGGTTTTGCCATGTCGTCCAGGCTGGTCTCGAACTCCTGACCTTGGATGATCCACCCACCTCAGCCTCCCAAAGTGCTGGGATTACAGGCGTGAGCCAGCGCGACTGGCCAGATATTTTAAACTTAATTATAATTTACTAAGCTCTTTCTACTACTAACATTAAAGTCTTTTAATTTATTTTCTCCTATTTTCTGAGATACTATTCATCATTTTTTATTCTCTGCACTACGGAACATCTTTTTATCAAATTTTACAGACTTTGCGTTAAAGTATTAGGCCAAGTCATGTGTTTAAATAACAATGTTATTTAAAGCTTAGAAAGCTTTAATTTTCTGAAGCAAGATTGGGCCTTCTCCAAGAGCGTCATTAAAGAATACCGTAATTCCTTCGTTGTTTCTTTCACGTTTTAACAGCTTTTTGTTCTGGGACAGTTTCACTCTTATTACCCAGGCTGGGGGGCAATGTCTCGATCTTGGCTCACCACAACCTCTGCCTTCTAGATTCAAGTGATTCTCCTGCCTCAGCCTCCCGAGTAGCCGGGATTACAGGCATGTACCACCATGCCTAGCTCATTTTTTGTATTTTTAGTAGAGAAGCAGGTTTTTCTATGTTGGTCAGGCTTTTCTCCAACTCCCTACCTCAGGTGATCCGCCCTGTGCCTCCCAAAGTGTTGTGATTACAGGTGTGAGCCACCACCCCCACCCAGCCTTTTCAAATTTGTTTGTTTTGTCTTGTTTTTGAGATGGAGTCTCCCTCTGTCACCCAGGCTGGACCAGGTTCAAGCGATTTTCCTTCCTCAGCCTCCTGAGTAGCTGGCATTACAGGCGCGCACCATAACACCTGGCTAATTTTTGTGTTTTTAGTAGAGACAGTTTCACCATGTTGGTCAAGCCGGTCTCAAACTCCTGAGCTTGTTGTGATCCGCCCGCCTCTTTTTAACAAGCTTGATTGAGGAAAAACTGACATACAATATGCAGCACGTTTAAAGTGTATAATTTGGGTCAGGCGCAATTGTTCACACTTGTAATCCCAGCACTTTGGGAAGCCGGGACAGGAGGATCATTTGAGCCCAGGAGTTCCAAGCCAGCCTGGGCAACATAGTGAGACACCCCCCACCCCGCCCCCGTCTCTACAAAAAATTACTAAAAAATAGCTGAGCATGTAGCAGGGCGTGGTGGCTCACACCTGTAATCCCAGCACTCTGGAAGGCCGAGGTGGGCAGATCCTGAGGTCAGGCGATTGAGACCATCCTGGCTAACATGGCGAAACCCCGTCTCTACTAAAATACAAAAATTTAGCCAGGCGTGGTGGTGTGCGCCTGTAGTCCCAGCTACTAGGAAGGCTGAGGCAGGGGAATCGATTGAACCCGGGAGGCAGAGATTGCAGTGAGCTGAGATTGTGCCACTGCACTCCAGCCTGGTGACATGGCAAGACTCCTTCTCAAAAAAAAAAAAAAAAAAAGCCGAGCATGTCAGTGTGCCACTGTCGTCCCAGCGACTTGGAAATCTGAGGCGGAGGATTGCTTAAGCCCAGGAATTCAAGGATGCAGTGAGCTAGGATGATGCCACTGTCCTTCAGCCTGGACAACAGAGCAAGACCCTATCTTGGTAAATACATAAATAAATAAATGTATAAAATTTGACACACATATGCACTGTGAAACCATTACTACAAAGAAGGAAATGAAGAGGGCTTTATGCCCCCAAAGTTTGCTCTCACCTTGTTAAATCCCTCACTCTTGTCCATTTCTTTTCTTTTCTGTAGACAAAGTTTCTCTCTCTCAGGCTGGAATGCAGTGGCACGATCTTGGCTCACTGCAACCTCTGACTCCCAGGTTCAAGCAATTCTCGTGCCTCAACCACCTGAGTGTCTGGGATTAGCAGCACCTGCCACCACGCCCAGCTAGAGACAGGGTTTCTCCATGTTCGCCATGGCTGGTCTCAAACTCCTGGCCTCAAGTGATCCAGCTGCCTCAGCCTCCCAAAGTGCTGCGATCACAGGTGTGAGCCACCACAGCTGGCCTCTGCTTACCTGTTGATATGTATATATGGGTTGTTTCCAGATTGGGGTTACTACAAATAAGGCCACCAGGAGTATTATCTGCAAGTCCAGCACTCTGTGTAGATATATGATTTCATTTATCTTGGTTAAATATCTTGGAGTGGAATGGCGGAAGTCTATGGTACGTATATTTTTAACTTTTTAAGAAGCTACCAAATTGTCTTCATAGTGCTTTAAGCATTTTGCATCTTCACCAGCTGAGGGTGAGAACTCTAGTTGTTTTGCGTCCTCATGAACACCTGGGGTGGCCAGTGCTTCTAACTGGAGAAGTGATAATGGGTGTGTCTTGGAATGTCATGGTTTAATTTGCATTTCTCTAATGGCCAAGGTTGAGTATCTTTTTTTTTTTTTGAGACAGAATCTCGCCCTGTTGCCCAGGCTGGAATGCAGTGGTGCAATCTCTGCTCGCCACCGCCTCTGCCTTCCAGGTTCAAGCAGTTCTCTGCCTCAGCCTCCCAAGTAGCTGGGATTACAGGTGCTCACCACCATGCCCAGCTAATTTTTGTATTTTTAGTAGAGACGGGGTTTTACCATCTTGGCCAGGCTTGTCTTGAACTCCTGGCCTCAAGTGATCTGCCTGCTTCTGCCTCCCAAAGTGCTGGGATTACAAGTGTGAGCCACTGTGCCCAGCTTTTTTCTGTATTTTTTGCAGAGTGGGGTGTGTCTCGATCTGTTGCCCAGGCTGGTCTTGAACTTCTGGCCTCAAGCAGTCACCCCACCTCAGCCTCCCAAAGTGCTGGGATTACCGGTGTGAGCTACTGCGATTGTCCAAATCAGGGATCTTTTCATAGCATGTCTAGCTTGTTACATTCATGCTTATCAGTGACTGAAATTACAGTAGTTGTGAGGGCTGCTATTTGAGCTTGGTATTTAAAGTGTTAGTAAAGATGCATGTATATTACCACATCACCAGTTTAAAAAATATTTTGATTACTTTTTAATGGCATTGAATATTTTGACTGAATTTCAGGATAATTGGTTTCCTTTGCAACTCTATGTATTTAATTTTGTGCACTTTGAACATTACGCTGTGCAGGGCATAACAGTTCTCCCCAGACTGTCAGGGGCCTGAGGCACAAAAGAGATTAGAAACTCCTGGCTTGGCGCCCTGTAGGGGAAAGGTCAGCACTGCAGAAAACTTTCTACCTTGGCAAATGCATGTTTTTTCTTATTAGAGGATCTTAAGGCAGGGTGCGGTCGCTCACGCCTGTAACTCCAGCTCTTTGGGAGGCTGAGGTGGGCAGATCACCCGCGGTCAGGAGTTCAAGACCAGCCTGGCCAACATGGTGAAAGCCTATCTGTACTAAAAATAAAAAAGTTAACTGGGCATGGTAGTGAGCACCTGTAGTCCCAGCTACTCGGGAGGCTGAGGCACGAGAATTGCTTGAACCTGGGAGGTGGAGGTTGCAGTAAGCCGAGATCACACCACTGCACTCCACCCTGAGTGACAGAGCAAGACTCTATCTCAAAAAAAAAAAAAAAAAAGGAAAAAGATTTTAGGCTGAGGCAGGAGGATCACTTGGGCAACATAGCGAGACCCCTCATTTCTCCAGAAAAAAAAAGCATTAGCCTGGCATGGTGGCATCCACCAGTATTCCCAGCCCCTTGGGAGGCTGAGGTGGGAAGGATTGAGCCCAGGAGATTGAGGCTGCAGTGAGCTGTGGTTGCCCCCGTGCACTCCAGCCTCAGCAACAGATCAAGCTGCTCTCTAAGATAACTAAGAAATAAATACAGAATTTGGAGACAATGATTGAGATTCATTACTCGACATTCACATTAATGCATTACTTTGCTTTTTTTCCCCCCTTTTTTAGGCAGAGTCTCACTCTGTTGCCCAGGCTGGAGTGCAGTGGCACAATCTCAGCTCACTGCAACCTCCACCTCCCGGGTTCAAGCAATTCTCCTGCCTCAGCCTCCCCAGTTGCGAGCTGGTATTATAGGTGCATGTGACTACGTCTGGGTAATTTTTGTATTTTTAGTAGAGACGGGGTTTCACCATGTTGGCCAGACTGGTCTCAAACTCCTCACCTCAAGTGATCCACCTGCCTCGGCCTCTCAGAGTGCTAGGAGGACAGGCGTGAGCCACCGAACCCAGCCACTTTCCTGCCCCTTAATACTGGGCATGTAAGAGCCCCTCCATGTCCCAGGAAGTTTATTTCTTCTACCCCAAAGGGGCCAGAACGTTTCTAAGTTAGAAGTCCCCAACAGGGGCTAAGGTGAGCTCAGGACAGAAAGCCTTCCCTAGAGCAGGAAGCAAAAGCTCGACTGATGCTGATTTTCAGTAGAAAGACCATGAAAAGAGGGTGACACCATCTCCCCTAAAAAGAAGAAAAAGAAAAACGTAACTGAAGCCCCTCCCAGAAAGAACTGATTTTTATTTTATTTTGTGTGCCAATTCCATTGATTTATTTATGAGACAAGTCTCGCTCTGTTGCTGGAGTGCAGTGGCATGATCCCGGCTCACTGCAACTTCCACCTCCCATGTTCAAACAATTCTCCTGCCTCAGCCTCCCAAGTGACTGGGATTATGGGTGCCCGCCACCACACCTGGATAATTTTTTAAATATTTTTTGCAGAAGAGGGGTTCTACCATGTTGGCCAGGTTGGTCTTGAACTCCTGACCTCAGGTGATTTGCCAGCCTCGGCCACCCACAGTTCTGGGGTTACAGGCGTGAGCCACTGCGCCCACCCAGTGGGTCCAAGTCCTGAGTCTGCCCCTGTTCCTCTGCCCAGCCCAAGCCTCAGCCTAGAGCCCCCTCTGTTCCTCTGCCCAGCCCAAGCCTCAGCCCAGAGCCCCCTCTGTTCCTCTGCCCAGCCCAAGCCTCAGCCCAGAGCCCCCTCTGTTCTTGTTAGAGTGAAATGAGGGCTTGCACTTGGCCTGGCATAGACCCCAAACCACCAGGGCACAGGGGCAGAAGGGCTCCAGTTACAACTGAATGGAGGTGCTGGAAGCAGAGGTGGCAGGGTGCTCTCCTGAGCATTGTATTTGTCTTCTTCCCTCACCATGGTGGCAGCAGGGGGCCCTGCTCTGTCGCTTCCTGGTGATTTTGTGCATGGGGCCTGGGTGGCTGAAAGCCCTGGGAGCCGCCCAAGGGTGCTCGTGCCTCTTTTATGGGGAAGAGTCTGTGGGTGTCTTAGTTATAGCCCTGAGAGCTTTAGATATCCAAGGATCTGAAATATGCATCACTGGCTGGGCACAGTGGCTCATGCCTATAATCCCAGCCCTTTGGGAGGCTGAGGTGGGTAGATCGCTTCCCATCCAGGATTGCTCAGGAGTTGGACACCCACCCGCCTGGCCAACATGGTGAAACCCTGTCTCTACCAAGAAAAAAAAAAAAAAAATAGCTGGGTGTGATGGTGCATGCCTGTAGTCCCAGATACTCGGGAGGCTGAGGTGGAAGGATAATTGGAGCTCAGTTAGTCGGGGCTGCAAGTGAGCCAAGATCATGCCGCTGCACCTGTCTCAAAAAAAAAAGAGGAAAGAAAGAAGAGAGAAAGAGAGGAAAGAGAAAGAAAGAAGGAAAGAAAGAAAAAGAAAGAAAAGGAAGGAAGGGAGGGAGGGGAGAAAGGAAGAAAAAGAAAAGGAAGGAAAGGAGAAGGAAATGAAAGAAAGAGATGCCTCACTGGCCCAAGCTCTGTAAGGCCAGTCTTGGGCAAGGGGACAGTGGGTCTGTGACCCCAGGTCTGGGGCGCTGGGAGACGGCAGAGGTTTGGCTCGGCAGGAACAAGATCTTTCCTGAACACTGCCTGGGGACTAGGGTGCTGGGTCTGCCAGCAGACAGTGTCTCTAGGGCCCAGGGTCATGGGAGCCACAGCTGGAACTCTACTTGTGGGTAGGTATGGGGTATGAATGGGACAGGGTGGGGTGGGGTGTGAATGGAGTGGAGCGCGGTGGCTGGGAGGGCTCTTTAAACTTCTTCTAAGTTTAAGTCTACGAGCTGGGAGATTCAGCCTCTTCCACTGTCCAGTCCCCTAAAGGCTAAGATGGAGACATCCTGCCCCCCACCCTGTCCCCACCGCCAGACTTCACACATCTGTCCAAAGATGCTTTTCCCTCATAGTTGGGGCCCTGACTCCTCCTTCTGGCATCCAAGGTCTCCACATAACCTGGGCGTGCTCCCCATCCCCCACTGTTCCCTGAATGCCCCTCTTCTCTCTCCAGTACCTCTCATTGTTGCCACCCATCTCTCTGCCTCACAGCTCCACTAACGGCCCCTCTGGATCCTCAGCCTTAACCCCTGCTGTTGGCCCCTCTTTCGGGTGCTGCCCGATGCCCCATGGGGAGTCCTTCCGCTGTCCCACCAGAGACAGAGCTGCAAGGGACCTGACAGGTGTCAGGCCCCACTGGGCTGGACGGCGGTCCCTGATGGACAGCGGTCTCTGAGTGTCCACTCCGCAGTCCCCGACTTGGCTGCCTTCCCCGTGGGAGAAAGGACGACAGGAGAGCCAGGTGCAGTCCCTAAAACAGGCTTTTTAATAACATCGTGTCTTCACTGAAGAGCTTGGCGTGTCCCACCCGGGCGGCGCCGCGGGCTAGTAGAAGGAGTATTGGTTCTCCACGGCGCGCGCACGGCCGGGCGTGGCCTCTGGGGGCTCCTCGGCGGCGGCAGCGACCACGGCCTCCAGCAGGCGTTCCGCGCTGTCGCTGCGGCTCCGCGCGCTGAGCGGGCCCTCGACTGGGCGCGGAGGGGCGGGCCCCGATGCCGCCGAGGACGACGAGGCGGACGATGAGGAGGCGCCAGCGGCGTCTGAGGGCGAAGCGGGCGGGCAGGCGGCCGCGGCCAGGCTGGAGAAGTAGTGCTGGCCTGCCGGCTCGCTCCAGCAGGCTGGGGGCGCGGGCGCGGCGGGGGGCGCAGGGCCCGACTCTGCAACGAGGCGGCGGCAGGGCGTGAGTGGGGCCCGGGCTGGCCACACCCGGGAGGGAAGCCGGCATCCAGCAGGGGACCAGCGCCCGCATTCAGGTTTTTGGGTTGCAGCCCACGTCCTCGGACACACATGCACGCACACCCGCACCGATGCATAAACAGGAGCACACACAGGCTTACAGGCACCTGCGCAGGCGCGCGCGTGCGCGCACACACACACACCCCTAACCATGCGTGTGCACGTGTATAAATGCACGCACACACATGCACACGCTCACACGCACACACACAAGTACACGCGCGCCATGCACGTATACACGTGCACGCACACTGCATACACATGCGCACGCACGCACATGTACACAATGCACACGCTCGTACACAGGCACAAACAAGCACATGTGCGCCCATGCACACACTGCACACGCACGCACATGCACCCATGCCCTTAGTCGGTCCCAGCAGCTTTGCACTGAGCCTCCCTGGTGCAGGGTCTGGGAATCCATAACCCCAGCTCCTTCCATCCCCCCACCCCACACCCCGTCCCTTCCCCCATACCCCACCTGCACTACTCTTGGGTGCCCCTTTCCCCTTTCCAGGAATCATTAGGGACATGGCCGCCTCTGGGCTGCGACTTCTGCCTCCATTCCTGATGGCCCAACTGTTTGCAAAGGTTGTGGCCGGGCTAGGGTGGGAGTGGCACAGCTGAGGCTATGGGACTGGAGACCTGCGGCTCATCCCACCCCAGGGGTCAGCTTCTTGAGTAATCAAGGGGGTCTTCTGGAGTAATCGCACAAGCCAGGTGGCGGCATCTTACCTGGCGGGGGGCCCTGTGCCCGCACGTAGCTGCGGAGGGTGATGTCGGCCGAGCCCCCTGACTCCAGTGGGATGGGGTGCGTGTGGAAGTGGCGGAGCATGTCAAGCACAGACTGGAACCACAGGTGTTGTACGTGACACTGGCCGTGGCCGTTCAGGGACAGGCGCAGGTGCTGTGGGTACAGGTGGGTGTGATCAGAGGCAGGGCTGGGGCTGGGCAAGCACCTTTGGGGGTTGATGGAAGGACCCAGGCTCACAGGGGCTGTGTGAGAGCTGGGGGCCCCTCTCACATGAGCCCCCTCTGGGGGTGGGGAATGGGGGCAATGGAGCCAGGCTGGGACAGAAGGCATTAGGCATTGTCCCCACGCTGGGAGCACCCCCACCATGGGCCCGTGCCCCACACACCTCTAATCTCTAATCCCCCCCAACCCAGAAGGTAGGGATTACTGCCCCCATGTTGGAGATGGGGAAACCAAGTCCCAGGGAGTAGGGGTGACTTGCCCATGGTCTCAGAGCACAGAGCAGGGAAGAGAACTGCTGTTTGGGTGGTTCCCCCAGCCCAGGAGGCTAGAGGTAGGCCCTCTGTCTCTGCAGAGCCAAAACCCCAGGGCGTGGAGAGCTCCCCAGGGCTGGTAGGGAGGAGTGATGGCATGCTGCTGGAACACCTGCAACAGGTTGGCTTCTCTCTGGGTCTCCAGGGCCGGCATGAGGCAGATGCCTCAGGGTAGGAAGCCATGGGCCTGTGGTCTCTAGTGGTGAGCTGCACAGGTCTCTGACTTAGGCCGTAGTTCGCTCATCAGTATCCCACTGCAGAAAAACTGGCTATCTCTGGGGTGGGTGTGGCAAGAGGGGAGCGAGAGGAGCGGTGAGGGTACACACTCGGCCCCAAGCCCAGGAGGGGAACTGGTCTGCCCGCCTACATAAAAGACAGACAATTGGCCCGGCGCGGTGGCTCACGCCTGTAATCCCAGCTCTTTGGGAGGCCAAGGCGGGTGGATCACAAGGTCAAGAGATCCAGACTGTCCTGGCCAACATGGTGAAATCCATCTCTACTAAAAATACAAAAATTGGCTGGGTGTGGTGGCACGCGCCTGTAATCCCAGCTACTTAGGAGGCTGAGGCAGAACTGCTTGAACCTGGAAGGCGGAGGTTGCAGTGAGCCGAGATTGCGCCACTGCACTGCAGCCTGGTGACACAGCGAGACTCTGTCTCAAAAAAAAAAAAAAAAAAACAATTGGCCAGGCATAGTGGTTCATGCCTTTAATCCCAGCCCTTTGGGAGGCTGGAGTAGGTCAATGGAGGTCAGGACTTTGAGACCAGCCTGGCCAACAGGGTGAGATTCTCCCCGACTTTTTAAAAAACAAACAAAAAAATACAGACAATGCTTGGAGCAGGGTGGTAGTCCCACAGTGAGCTCTGCCGCCTAGCAGAATAAATTGCCAGGACAATGCAGGGACTCAGCCTAGGAGAAACAGCAGAGGGGACCCACCACAGCCTCACAGCTGGGCAGAGCCTGCTTAGGGCACAGCTGGGCCCCAGGGGTGAGGAGAAGCACAGTGGCTGCATCCTGATCTTCTGCCAGACCTTCTAGATGTTTATTCCGAGAAGGTGGAAAGAGTTGCCTCTGGGAAGGTAGTGATCTTCCCTCCCAGGAGGTATGTAAGTGGGAGGCTGGGGTTCCTGCTTTATCCCACCAGCCAATTATCAGGCCTGGGGCTGTCATCTCCACTCTGGGAAAAGAGCAGCCAGGTAGACAGGTGAGAGGCAGGTTCACCTGGGTCTTGTTCCAGGAAGGAGAGGAGCTCCACCCACCCTGTGTTCTCCCATCCTAGCCTCTGGCTTGGGCATGAGTCAGACCCAGGCTCTCTGGAGGCTGCCTGGAGCAGCGCTGGCCGAGAAATAAACTACACGTCACCAGCGACGGCCTTAAGGGCCTGGTTGTCAGAGGAACTGGTAAGAGTGGCTGCTTCCCTGGGGGAGGTGCTACCTTCTGCACGGTGGGGCCAGCCCAGCGGAGGAGAGAAGCCACTAGAGGGCCCGCACTGGGCCACTAGGGCTTAGGGCAGCTGGGGTCCCTGCAGAGAGACACTGTCCCCCAGCTGCAGGCTTGGAGCAGGAGTCCTGGAGTTCTCCTGCCTCTAGTAGGGGCCGCCAGGAAATCCGTCCTGGCAGGAGCCCGGGCTGAGCGTTTCCTTATCGGAAACCTGGGATGCAGGGGGCGGGCACTGAGGTTCCTGCCTTCTCTGTCCACACTGTACCCTCCCATAATCGTTTGGTTTGCTGTCAAATTTTCCTTGGAATTTTAGGTCAACAGGCCGGGTGCAGTGGCTGATGCCTGTAATCCCAGCATTTTGGGAGGCTGAGGTGGGTGGATCACCTGAGTCAGGAGTTCAAGACCAGCCTGGCCAACGTGGTGAAACCCTATCTCTACTAAAAATACAAAAATTAGCCAGGTGTGGTGGTGCATGTCTGTAATCCCAGCTACTTGGGAGGCTGGGGCAGGACAATGTTTGAACCCAGGAGGCAGAGGTTGCAACATGTTGAAACTGAACCATTGCACTCCAGCCTGGGGGAGAGAGACTGTCTCCAAAAAACCAAAAACAATGCATTTTAGGTCAACGTGGCCTGCAACCCTCTTCCCTGAAAGCCCGCCGGCTGGGTGCACCTCCATACCTCCAACCCGGCTGGGTGCTGTCGGGATCGCTCTTCCCGCCTGTCTTCCCCTCCACAATTCTCCCTCCCCTGCAGATCTGAGATCAGGGTGTGCCCTCCAATGCTGAGCCCCGCCCCCAGGCCCTGCGCGGCTCTCCCACCCCACCCAGCTCCTCCTCCCCTTCTGGGTCTGTAGGGTTTGGCCATGTAGGTTTCTCAGGGGTTGGGACCTGACTTGGACAGGGAAGAAGAGGGGCTGTCTGGGGTGGGTAGGGCTCTGAGGGTCTTGGTTGGCTCCAGCCCTGCACAGGGAAGTCTGCGGGTGGAGACTCTCGGAAGCTCCAGTGCTATGAGATCCCCCTCGCACAGGGGCTGAGAGGACTTGCAAATTTGGGTTACTAGAGGGGCTCAGCTGCCAGTAGGTGGCTTCCCCGTCTGGGGAATGGAGAAGGTGAATTAGGGCTGACTGCAGTTCCACAGTGATGGGTAGGAGGGTTGCAGGTGTCTCATGGAGCGTGGAAGTCATACCACACCTGTTCGCCTGCAGCTGCTCCCGGGGCACAGCCTCAGGACCGGGGTTACCACCGCCCCGCTCCCCCAGGGCTGGCTACTGCACCCGTGGCCCCCCACGCACACTTGCCTTGGCCTTGCCCTGGAAGTTGAAGGTCAGCACGTACTCCCCAGGTCGAGTCTCACTTTGACGGATCACGAAGAGGCCGTGGTTCCGGGGCCCCCCTGCCAGAACCAGCTGAGCGGCCCTGACCCGGGACAGTGTTCCGTGGAACCAGGGGTACTCGCACAGTTCCAGCTCGGGCTCAACTTCAGCATCTGTCTCCGCACCCTCCTCCCCTGAGGTGGGGACCACAGTGTGAGGAACAGGGCAGGGACAAATAAATAAATGTGAGAAGAGAGGTGACATCTTGTTGGTTTTTTTACATGCAAAATGGAGTTGGAATAATTTTTAAAATTTGTGTTGGTTTTAATTTTTTAATTTTTAGTTTTTGAGATGGAGTCTTACTCTGTCACCCAGGCTGGAGTGCAGTAGCGTGATTTTGGCTCACTGCAACCTCCGTCTTGTGGCTTCAAGCGATTCTCCTGCCTCAGCCTCCCAAGTATCTGGGATTACAGATATGTACCACTATGGCAAGCTAATTTTTGTATTTTTATTAGACATGGGGTTTCACCATGTTGTCCAGGCTGGTCTTGAACCCCTGAGCTCAAGCAATGTGCCCGTCTTGGCCTCCCAAAGTGCTGGGATTATAGGTGTGAGCCACTGTGCCCAGCTGAAAAATTTTATTTATTTATTTAACTTATTTTTTTGAGATAGGGTCTTGCTCCGTCACCCAGGCTGAACTGCAGTGGCACAATCATGGCTCACTACAGCCTTGACTTCCTGGGCTAAAGCAATCCTCCCACCTCAGCCTCCTGGGTAGCTACAATGCCCGGCTAATTTTGGTTTAGTTTTTTGTTTGTTTTTTTTTGAGATGAAGTTTCACTCTTGTTACCCAGGCTGGAGTGCAATGGCATGATCTCGGCTCACCACAACCTCCGCCTCCTGCGTTCAAGTAATTCTCCTGCCTCAGCCTCCCAAGTAGCTGGACTACAGGCGCGCACCACCATGCCCAGCTAATTTTTGTATTTTTAGTGGAGACAGGGTTTCATATTGTTGACCAGGATGGTCTCGATCTCTTGACCTTGTGATCCACCCGCCTCGGCCTCCCAAAGTGCTGGGATTATAGGCGTGAGCCACCGCGCCCGGCCAGAATAATTTTAGAATCAGGCAGGGAGCTGACCCAACCCAATGGTAAAGTATATGAGGTAAACTGAGGCACGGAGCTGTGAAGGGCTATCTTGGAGTTGCTCTGTACGTCATCAACAAACCTGGGAACAAATCCAGTCTCCTGGTGCCAACCCCCAATTCCAACCCTCTGTACCCTTTTCTGTGAGCATCTTTCCCTCCCTCCCTCCCTTCCTTTTTTTGAGAGATGGTCTCTCTCTGTTGCCCAGGCTGGAGTGAATGGTGTGATCACAGCTCACTGCAGCCTCAACCTCCTGGGCTCAAGTGATCCTCCCACTTCAGCCTCCCAAGGAGCTGGGACTATCAGTACATGCCAATGTGCCCAGATAATTAAAAATTTTTTTGTGGCCAGGGGTGGTGGCTCATGCCTGTAATTCCAGCACTCTGGGAGGCCGAAGTGGGCGGATCACTTGAGGTCAGGAGTTCAAAACCAGCCTGGACAACATGGCGAAACCCTGTCTCCACTAAAAATACAAAAATGAGCCGGGTGTGGTGGTGGGTGCCTGAAATCTCAGCTACTCGGGGGACTGAGATGTGAAAATCGCTTGAACCAGAGGGTAAGAGTTGAAGAGGCATGATCCACCACTGCACTCCAGTGTGGGCAACAAAATGAGACTCTGTCTCAAACGTTTTGTACAGATAGGGTCTTGTTACGCTGCCCAGACTAGTCTCAAACTTCTGGCTTCAAGTGATCCTCAGTTTCCCAAAGCACTGGGTAGGACTGACTCACAGATGTGAGCCACTGCACCCAGCCCCTGCGAACATTTCCTATCAAAACTTGGTCCAGTGGGAGGGGTCAGGTTTTTAGACCGGTCTACAAAAGCCAGAAATACTTCAGAGCTGTGTGAAGGACCCAGGGGGTGAGATGTCACCGCTTCTGAGGCTCAGCAACGTTTTGGAGGGAGCCCACGGGTGGCCATGGCTGGCGGGGGAGGGGGTGGTCCAGGAGAGGTGGGGTGGGAAGATCAGGCTGTCCCCACTGGCACCTGTGTTATTGCTGTCACTGCCACTGCCGCCCGGGGATTCCAGGGTCTGCAGGAAGGTCTCTAGCGGGACATGGATCAGGGACTCTCTGATGGCATCTCGACCTCGACTGTGGGGAGCTGTCACCACGGCTCCCACGGCTGTCGTCTCTGGGGGCCGGGGCGGGTCGGCTGCTGGAGAAGCGGCAGGTAAGAAGCACGTATCTTTATCCATCCACCCTGAGTGTGCACCTCCTCCAACCTGTCTGCCTACCTACCGTCCGTCAGGAGCTCACAGCTGCAGGAGGCCACGCGGCTGGCCAGACAGCCTCCCTGGGAACATGAGAGCTCGGTGTCTTCCTCACTGTCACTGTGAAGACAAGAAATGGAAGCCACATCCTGCTGTGGGACTCGGACCTGGACCATGGGCTTCTTCTGTGGCCAGGCAGTGGCTGGCAGTATCACGGCCAGCATCCAGCTCTCCTGCCTCTGGTCACCTCCCTCTGCCTCCACGCCCCTCTGTCCCACTCTCCGCTGGCTCTGCGGCCACCATGTGATTGACCAGGCCATTCTTGGGAATCAGAAAACAATACCCCAAAATAAAGTCCTCAGCAGCAGCCTCAGAAACAAAAAAGTTTGGCAGGGTGCAGTGGCTCATTCCTGTAATCTCAGCACTTTGGGAGGCTGAGTGGGTGGATCACGAGGTCACCAGTTTGAGACCAGCCTGACTAACATGGTGAAACCCCATCTCTACTAAAAATACAAAAATTAGCTGGGTGTGGTGGCATGTGCCTGTAGTCCCAGCTACTCTGGAGGCTGAGGCAGGAGAATTGTTTGAACCTAGGAGGTGGAGGTTGCGGTGAGCCAAGATCGTGCCACTGCACTCCAGCCTGGGCGACAGAGAGACTCTATCTCAAAAAAAATAGTTTTTCTCTGACCTTCTCCTGCCTACTGTCTCTCAGTCCTCTTCTCCTCAGATATACCAGAGAAATGAAAGTCCTTCTTTCCTAAGGCAAGTCACAGAAACCAGAACCCTTTTTCCAAAATGTAGCCCTAAAACCGAAAAATATTTTTTTTTTTTTGAGACGACGGAGTCTTACTCTGTCACCTGGGCTGGAGTGCAGTGGCATGATCTTGGCTCACTGCAACCTCCGCTTCCCAAGTTCAAGCAATTCTCCTGCCTCAGCCTCCGGAGTAGCTGGGATTGCAGGCACCCACCACCACACCTGGCTGAATTTTTTTGTGTTTCTAGTAGAGATGGGGTTTCACTATGCTGGCCAGGCTGGTCTCGAGCTCCTGACTTCATGATCCACCTGCCTTGTCCTCCCAAAGTGCTGGGATTATAGGCGTGAGTCACTGCACCTGGCCAACCTAAAAATATTCTAGGTAAAAAACTTGTCACAAAGAAATTATCCAGCCAGGCATGGTGGCTCATGTTTGTAATCCCAGCACCCTGGGAGCTGAGGTGGGAGGATCACTTGAGGCCAGTAGCTTGGGCAACATACTTAGACCCCTATCTTTTTTTTTTTTTTTTTTAGGATGGAGTCTTGCTCTGTTGCCCAGGCCCCAGTGCAGTGATGCAATTTCAGCTCACGGCAACCTCCGACTCCTGGGTTCAAGCGATTCTCCTGCCTCAGCCTCCGGAGTAGCTGGGATTGCAAGCATGCATCATCACGCTCAGCTAATTTTTTATTTGTGTGTGTGTGTTTTTGGTAGAGACGGGATTTCACCATGTTGGCCAGGCTGGTCTCGAACTCCTGACCTCAGTTAATCCACCCTCCTCGGCCTCCCAGAGTGCTGGGATCACAGGTGTGAGCCACCGGGCCTAACTGAGAGATCCCTGTTTAATAAAAAAAAAAAAATTAGCTGGGCCTGGTGGTGAGGCAGGAGGATCAATGGAGCCCAGGAATTGGGAGGCTGCAGTGAGCTGTGATTGTGCCACTGCCCTCCAGCTTGGGCAACAGAGCAGGGAAAAAAAAATAATAATAATAAATAAATAAAAAGAAGGAAAGGAAAGCAAGCAAGAAAGAATTACCCAGCCTACGGGTTTGAATGTAAGTCATCAGACCCCCATTGAAGAAAGGGTTCTGTCCCACACCCGGAAGGAAGAAATGCTTCTCAGCGAGGCCAAGAAGAGTCTAGACAGACAGGCCTGGCTGGGTCCCCTGCTCAGCCTATTCCCATCAGATCCTGACCTTTGTGTCCAATCCTCTTTCTACACAGCTGTCTATACTTTCTGAACCTAAGCCTAACAATGGACGGTTTCCCCTGTATCTTTTTTTTTTTGAGCTGGAGTCTTGCTCTGTTGTCCAGTGGAGTGCAGTGGTGCGATCTCGGCTCACTGCAACCTCTGCCTCCCGGTTTCAAGTGATTCTCCTGTCTCAGCCTCCTGAGTAGTTGGGATCACAGGGGCCCACCACCATACCCCACTAATTTTTGTATTTTTAGTAGAGACGGGGTTTCACCATGTTGGCCAGGCTGGCCTCAAACTCCTGACCTCATGTGATCTGCCTGTCTCGGCCTCCCAAAGTGCTGGAGTTACAGGTGAGAACCACCCCGCCTGGCCCTCCCTTGTATCTTTGACTCTTCATTCTGAAGGCTCCCATGTATACATGTTAAATACATTTATATGCTCTTTCTCCTATTAATCTGCTTTGTGTAGCTAAGCACACTGGCCCATGCCTGTAATCCCAGTGCTATGGGAAGCTGAGGCAGACGGGTCTCTTGAACCCAGAATTCAAGACCAGCCTGGGCAACATGGCAAGATCCCATCTCTCTCTTTTTTTTTTAAAACAGGGTTTCGCCATGTTGGTCAGGCTGGTCTTGAACTTCCAACCTCAGGTGATTTGCCCACCTTGGCCTCCAAAGTGCTTGGATTACATGTCCGGCTGCAAGATCCCATCTCTAAAAAATAAAAATTAGGCAGGGGCAATGGCTCACGCCCATAATCCCAACACTTTGGGAGACTGAGGCAAATGGATCACCTGAGGTCAGGAGTTTGAGACCAGCCTGGCCAACGTAGTGAAACCCCCATCTCTACTAAAAATACAAAAATTAGCTGGGAGTAGTAACAGTCACCTGTAATCCCAGCTACTTGGGAGGCTGAGGCAGGAGAACTGCTTGAACCTTGGAGGCGGAGGTTGGAGTGAGCTGAGATTGTGCCATTGCACTCCAGCCTGGGAGATAGAGTGAGACTCCGTCTCAAAAAAAAAAAAAAAAAAGCCAGGCATCGTGGCATGCGCCTACAGTCTCAGTTACTTGCGAGGCTGAGGTGGGAGGATGGCTCGAGCCCAGGAGGTTGAGGCTACAGTGAACTGTGGTCGCACCACTGTACTCCAGCCTGGCCAACAGAGCAAGACCTTACCTCTAAAAAATAAAATAAAATGCCGGGTGCAGTGGCTCACACCTGTAATCCCAGCACTTTGGGAGGCCAAAGCAGGTGGATCAAAGGTCAGGAGATGGACACCATCCTGGTTAACACAGTGAAACACCATCTCTACTAAAAATATAATAAATTAGCTGGGCGTGGTGGTGGTTGCCTGTAATCCCAGCTACTCAGGAGGCTGAGACGGGAGAATCACTTGAACTTGGGAGGTGGAGGTTGCAGTAAGCAGAGACCATGCCACTGCACTCTGGCCTGGGCAACAGAGCAAGACTCCATCTCAAAAAAGAAATAAATAAATAAAATAAAAATAAATTAAAAAAAAATGTGTATGCCTTTTCTCTTATTTATCTGCCTTTTGCAAACTGATTTTCCACTGGAACTTCAGAAGCCCAAGGGGAAGGCTCTCTTTAGACCCCTATACCACAAATTGGGTATAGTCCCCACTGAGGCCCCATGACCCCTGCCCACTATCCCTGAGGGGCGAGGCTCCTCCTGGGATCCTGTGGGAGACCCTCAGAGAGGATGGGAAGGGTTCTCTCCTCATCTGTGACACAAGGTATCTAAAATTCCACAAAGTGAGGTTTACCTTCACAGGGGCTGGGGAAAGCGCCTGCAGAGCCGATGGTCCGGAGGGGTGCGGAGGAGGAGGGATTACAACCACTTTGTGCTCGGGACCTTAATTGTGTTTCTTTAAATGAAGCTGTTAATTAGAAAGCAGCGGCCCCTCCCCCCAGGGCTTGGCTCACCCCATTAGCAGGCAGAGCTGCTGCCAATTGCTCAGCCTGTGAGGCCGCCTGTCCCTCCGACTCCTGGCCTGGCATCTCTCCTGGACCGTGGAGCCAACCTTTCTGCTGATTTTCCTGTACACAGCTGACCTTAACTGCCCTCTGCTTGTTACCCGCCATGGCTCCCATTGTCCCTGACCTACTCATTAACTGAGCTCTCATCAAAATCTCACTGACTACCCCAAAGGCCTTGATGTTCCCTGCAAGTCCCAGGTGCCTGTACACTTCCACACATTTAAAAATTATTATTATTTTTTGAGACGGAGTCTTGCTGTTGTCCAGGCTGGAGCGCAGTGGTGCCATCTCGGTTCACTGAAACCTCGGCCTCCCACGTTCAAGTGATTCTCCTGCCTTAGCCTCCTGAGTAGCTGGGATTAGAGACACCCACCACCGCACCCGGCTAATTTTTGTATTTTTAGTAGAGATGGGGTTTCACTATGTTGGCCAGGCTGGTCTCGAACTCCTGACCTCAGTTGATCCACCCACCTCAATCTCCAAAAGTGCTGGGACTACAGGTGTGAGTCACCAGGCCTGGCTCCAACCAAATTTATTATGATTATTTTTTAAGAGTTAGGGTCTCGCTCTGTTGCCCAGGCTGGAGTGCAGTGGTGCAATCCTAGATCACTGCAGCCTCCAACTCCTGGGCTCAAGTGATCCTCCCACCTCAGCCTCCTGAGTAGCTGGGATAACAGATACATGCCACCGTGCCCAGTTCCATTTCCATTCTTTTTGCTGGGCTGTTCTCTGCCCTCTCCCATCCTTCTCTGCCTGGCATAGGTCTACTCTTTATTTAAGCCTCAGGTTAAGTGAGCATGCCTACCAGCATGCCTTCCCTGAACCCAAGGCTGGGTTAGGAGTCTCCCCAGCTCTTTTTATTTTTTTCTATTTTAAGAGACAGGGTTGGCTGGGTGCAGTGGCTCACATCTGTAATCCCAGCACTTTGGGAGGTGGGTGGATCACTTGAGTTCTGGGGTTTGAGACCAGCCTGGCCAACATGATGAAACCTCGTCTCTACTAAAAATGAAAAAAATTAGCTAGGTGTGGTAAAAAAAATTAGCTGGGTGTGGTGGTGCGTGTCTGTAATCCCAGCTACTTGGGAGGCTGAGGCAGGAGAATCGCTTGAACCCGGGAAGCGGAAGTTGCTGTGAGCTGAGATCGCACCACTGCACTCCAGCCTGGGTGACAGAGCAAAACCGTCTCAAAAAAAAATTTTAAAAAAAGAGAGAGGGTCTGGCTATATGGTGCCCAGTCTGGTCTTGAACTCCTGGGCTCAATCAATCCTCCCAGCTCAGCCTTCCAAAGTGTTGGGATCACAGATGTGAGTCACTGCTCACAGATGTGAGCAGGCACCCAGCCCTTTGGGGACTCGTTCCCATCTCTGCCCAACTCCCAGTGCTCTGAGTCCCTCTTAGGGTGAAGACGAGACTTGGTCCAACTCCTTTGCAGGTCCCCAGGCCCTGGGCCCACAGAGCAGGCCCCGCAGAGTCTGCTGGGGATTGGAGGTGAGGGGGATTTTAAAGCGGGGGTAATCCTAGCTGGCACCAAACTGAATCACACTGAATTGCTCATTTCTCAAGCTGAGCTCCTGCCCTGTTAGGAAGCTACTCCTGGTGAAGGCTGGACCAAGGACACACGCAGCCCGTCCACCCATCCTCAGGCCACTTGGACACTCACCCAGGGTTCACACAGCCCTGGATGTCAGCTACCCACGAGTGCTTCTGCAGAGAGTCGATGGTCTCCAGGATGTACTCGGCTCCATTCTCTACCTGGGAAGGAAAGTGGCCAGGAGTCCGGAACACGGTCAGCAGACAGGCTCTGGACCACAGGACATAGGGCCAGAGTGGCTCAAATGGCTCATCACCCCTCCCACAGCAGGCCCCAAGGGCATGTGCAGCAGGAAGGACAGTGGGGTCACCATTGGGCACCACCTGGAACCCAGGCCAGGGACCCAGGGGTACAGCCTGTAGCTCACACTCTGCCTACCTCCCTCCTGGGCCTCCCCACTGGGGATATGTTCCGCCCCACTGATCTCAGCTCCTCCGCCTTGGAGATGCAGCCTCTGAGGAGGCCATGCTGGTGGGGGAGGGATGGGTGGTCCAGCAGCCCCAACCCACGGCCTGGCACCCCAGGATGGGGTTCAAGTTGCGCAGAGAGGCAGGCTGGCCAAGCACACTGAGTTGTAGGGCTGGTGTGCCTTAGTGCCTGGAGTTGTACCAGCACGGCCAAGCAATTGAGATAAGCAGAGTCTGCAGGGGAAGGGGGCAGGGCGACACTCCTGCTGGGGCCAGGCCCAGAGCACAACTCTGCACTCTGCTCAACTCCTCCCAATGGCCCTGTGAGGGAGGGGAGCCATTTCCCCCATTTTATAGATGAGAAGACCAAGGTTCAGAGAGGTCAAGAGCTTGCTCAAAGTCACACAGCAGCCAGTGGCAGGGCCAGGGCCTGAATCCAGGTCTCTGGGATGCCCAGGCCCCGTGCTGTCGACTTGTGGTTGTGTGCCTCAAAATGCAGTTGTTGGGGCTGGGCAAGGAGGCTCACGCCTGTAATCCCAGCACTTTGAGAGGTTGAGGTGGGCAGATGTCCTGAGCTCAGGAGTTCGAGACTAGCCAGGGCAACATGGTGAAACCCTGTCTCTACCAAAAATACAGAAATTAGCCAAGCATGGTGGCATGTGCCTTTGGTCCCAGCTACTCAAAAGGCTGAGATGGGAGGATCGCCTGAGCCCGGGAGGCAGAGGTTGTATCGAGCTCAGATCCCTCCACTGCACTCCAGCCTGGGTGACAGAGTGAGACCCCATCTACAAACAAACAAACAAAAAAGGTCATTGCTGGACCCCTAGGATGACAGAGCTGGGAGGGTTCTCAGAGATTGCCTTTAATGCCTCTCTAAACAGATGGGGAACCTGAGGCAGGTGAGCCCCTCTGCCTCAGGACTGTCTGCATGATCAGCAGCTTAGAGGGTACCAGGTGGGCGGGGGCTGTGTCCCCAGCCCCCAGCCTGGCATGACTCAGGGTCCGGGGTGGGTAAACGCTCGCTAAATGAATAAGTGAGCCCGTGACTAAACAAATGGGAACGGGTCAAAACACAAACACAGCCAGATGCCTGGAGAAGAGGGTGGGGGCTTCATGCAGGATGAGCGGGTGGGGCCAGGCCTCCCCAGGGACATTGCTTCACCAATACCCTCTGATCCTTTTCGGAGGCCCAGGGACCACAGCCCTGGCAGCCTGGAGCTGTGTCCTCAGAAACCCCTGCAGGCCACCCTGGTGGCAGCGTGGGGCCTGGGAAAAGGATGGGCTGCCCCTAGACCCACCAGGGTGCCTCCCCGCCCACCCTCGGTGCCTTTGTGCCCTCCGTGGGAGACCAGGCCGGTTCCCACACTGCAGCACCCTGGGATGGAAACGTTTGCATAACTGCTGCCGGCTGGCCACCAGTGGGGTGGGTGTGTGCTGGCTCCAGTGGGGGAAGGGAGGGCAGGAAGTGAAACTGATGAGCTTCTCCCAGCCCAGGCATAAACGGGAGCAAGGGGCCCAGATGTTGGGCAACACCCAGGGAGCTGAGATTCAAGTCTTAGCTATGTGCTAGCCATCTGTCGTAGGGTCTGGGGACGCCCGACACCAGGGCTCCCTCCCACCACAGTCCTGCCTTAGGCTTCTCTTCAATCCCCTACAGAGCTGTAGCACCTGCAGGGGAGGTGGCCTGGGGCAGCCGGAGGATCTTTGGGGTTGGGGCGAGACCTCACCTTGAGCACAAACGTGTTGTCCTTCTCTGGCATTTCCAGGGGCATGGTGGTGCGGACCTCAATGATGGCCGACAGTGGGATGCTGACCTTGGGCCTGGAGGCCTGGGGGCCAGAAGGACAGTGAGTGGTCCCAGCACTTCCTCACACCCTCTCCATCCCCTCCCTGCTGCCAGGCATCAGGGCAGCCCTCAAATAGGTTGCCATGGCCAAGCTGGTACAGAGGTGGCCCAATCCCCATGTCACAGATGGGGAAGTTGAGGAAGGCACTTCTTTGAAACAAAGGACCTTTTCCTGGCTAGGCGTGGTGACTCTTGCCTATAATCCTAGCATTTTGGGAGGCCAAGGCAGGAGGATGGCTTGAGTCCAGGAGTTCAAGACCAGCCTGGGCAGCAAAGCAAGACCTTATCTTTACTCAAGATGAGAAAACGTAGCCGGGTGTGGTGGCATGCGTGCCTGTAGTTCCAGCTACTTGAGAGGCTGAGGTGGAAGGATCACTTGATCTGGGGAGGTTGAGGCTGCAATGAGCTGTGATGGCACCATTATATTCCCGCCTGGGTGACAAAGCGAGATTCTGTCTCAAACACAAACAAACAAACAAAATGACCACCTCCTCCTATAGTCACCCCGCAAGTCCAGGACAGAACCAGATCTGAGGAGCCCTGAGGAGTGAACCCCACCTGGGCTGCCCTCTGCCCCATGCACCCATGAGATCTGTGGTTTTCATGTTTTCACCTTGACCCGTTGTGAGAAATACATTTAACACTGGGGCCCAGGACCCACATACAGAGGTAAAAATATCTCCGAAACAAACGTCTCACCAGATGAGAATTACCCTTCCTGTGTTTGATAGGGTGTGATATTTTCTATTCTATTCTAGTTCACTTTTTAAAAAATGCTGCTCTTGGCTGGGTGCGGTGGCTCACACCTGTAATCCCAGCACTTTCAGAGGCCGAGGCAGTCAGATCACTTGAGGTCAGGAGTTTGAGACCAGCCTGGGCAACATGGTAAAAACTCCATCTCTACTAGAAATACAAAAATTAGCCAGGCGTGGTGGTGCATGCCTGTAGTCCCAGCTACTTGGGAGGCTGAGGCAAGAGAATCACCTGAACCCAGGAGGTGGAGGATGCAGTGAGCCGAGATTGCACCACTGCAATCCAGCCTGGGTGACAGAGTGACATCCTGTCTCAAAAAAAATAAAATAGTCTGGCACGGTGGCTCACGCCTGTAATCCCAGCACTTTGGGTGGTCGAGGCAGGCGGATCATGAGGTCAGGGCTTCGAGACTAGCCTGGCCAACATGGTGAAACCCTGTCTCTACTGAAAATACAAAATTAGGCTGGGTGTGGTGGCAGGCACCTTTAATCCCAGCTGCTCGGGAGGCTGAGGCAGAATTGCTTAAACCCGGTAGGCGGAGGTTGCAGTGAGCTGAGATCACGCCACTGCACTCCAGCCTGGGTGACAGAGCAAGACTCTGTCTTGGAAACAAAATAAAAATAAATAAATAAATAAAATTAAAAATGATGGTCTTAAAACCTGGTGGTTTAAACAAAAAAGAAAAAAAGAAAAAATGCTGGTCTCCTACGACAGACCAGACCTTCCAGAGCGGGGCCTGGAGCCCCTAACTCAGAATGGGACTAGACGTTTCCTGGAGTGAGTAAAAGGGACCAGTGTTCCCAACAACGCTGCGGGCAGGGTTGATACACGGTGAGCTGGCAGGGCTGTGTGGGACAGCCACTCTGTGCCTGGTCCCGCTGACTGCCTCAAAGCTTCCTGCGGCAAACCTGAGCCCCCCTCCCCCACGCCTCGTCCCTGGGAGCTGGCCTGAGTCTGGGATTTCCAGCAGGGCTCTGTCTCCAGGACAGGACAGGGACTTTCTTAGGAGGAAAAGGAAGGGCCACACATTTGATGGGCAGGCAGATGGGAATTCCAGGAAGCACTGGCCCCTGTCCAGCCGGTGCAGGGCTGGGCTTGGAGCATGAATGGGGCCTGGTTGACCCTGGTGTGTGGCCGCCATGCCGGCCAGCAGGGCTGGGGACAGAGCAGACAGAAGTCTGCTGTGGAGGCCTGGACTGGAAGCTTCAGCAGGGATCCTGCTGGCCAGAGATGCTGTGGTTCCCCAGCTTGGAATCTGAGGTCCATCTGTCCTGGTCCAGCTTCCTCTCAGCTGCTCCAGCCACAGCTCACTGTGCCTACATCCCTGAATGGTAACTGGCATTATGACCCCAGGCCTTTGCCCACAGAGCTGACACCTCCAGAAGTGCCTGTTCCAGGGTCCCGGCCACTTAGGCAGCCACAGCTTTTCCTCCTTGGGGCCCTAGAACACCCAGGGTTCACCCCACTGGGATTTCTGTTTTTGTTTTTGTTTTTTTTGAGATGGAGTCTCCCTGTCACCAGGCTGGAGAGTGCCGTGGTACGAACTTGGCTCACTGCAATCTCCGCCTCCCAGGGAGGCAGAGGGGATTCTCCTACCTCAGCCTCCGGAGTAGCTGAGACTACACGTGCCCACCACCACACCCAGCTAATTTTTGTATTTTTAGTAGAGACAGGGTTTTGCCATGTTGGCCAAGAAGGTTTTGAACTCTTGACCTCAAGTGATCCACCCGCCTTGGCCTCCCAGAGTGCTCTGATGATAGGTGTGAGCCGCCAAGCTTGGCCGACCCCACTAAGATTTGCAAGCCTCCTGAAAATACCAGGTTTCCCAGTGGCTTCCCTGATGGCAGGGGGCTGGCATCATCGCTCCTTGGGTCCCCAGGGCTGGCCTGGCATAGGGCAATGAGGGGACCTGGGTTCAGGGGCTCTTCCTGCAGGGGTGAGGAGGCAGGAAGCCAGAGACCTGACTCACAGCAGCTGGCACCTCAAAGGCTGTGTGAGATAGAAGTCTAAGGTGCCAGGCCATGGCCCCTAAGCCCTCAGGCCCCGAGCTCCTGACTACTCCAAGGGTGCAGCTAGGCCTCTCGGGGGCGAGAGATCCGGACTGTGAGTGGGTGCAGAGGCAGTGGGGGTGTCATTAGGGCCATCCCAGCAGGCTCACTCACCCGGGAGCCGGCATCCTGGGACCAGATGCGTTTGGAAAACTCAACTGAACTCCTACCATGGAAGGAGCTACTCACCCACGGGACCAACTCCTGAATACCCACAAACGCCCCCACCTTTGCTTGACGCAAGGAGGGGAAGGGCCTGGTGACCCCACAGGAACGATGCCCTCTGCCAGCAGCAAAGTTAGCAGCTCTGCCGGGACTAAGGGGGAGCCACCAGCTGCTGCCTCCCCTCCCCCGAGGATGCCAGATGCTGCTATTTACAGAAGGGCAGCTGTGACTGCTACTCAGGCCTGAGGTGCTGGAGCCCCGGGCCTCTGTCCCTGCCCTCTGGGTGACCCTGGGTAAGCCCCACCCCACCTGTTACTGGGTCTTGGTCTCCTTGTCAGACAAGGAGTAGAGTCAGGCTTAGGGGTCTAGGATTTCTCCCAGGGAATTAAAGGCAGGGGCCTGGTCAGGAAAAAAGCCCTTGGGAAGTCTAGGGGTGCTGGGACCTGGGGACAAAGCTCTTCAGAGAGTAGGTGTGTCCCCGGAAAGTCACTTTTTTAGGACCCATGTGGCTCATGGGCACTGAGCCTTGGGGAGCCCCCACTCCTCCACCTCCAGGCGCCCAGATTCCCCCATCAGAGTGAGCGATGGAGAGAGAGCTAAGAAACTGAGGGTGACTCAGAGAGCACCCAGGGACAGAGTAGGCCTTGAGGTGGGAGGTAGGTGGGGGGCCCTCAGTGGTTCCTGGGGGTGCTGTCAGCTGCTGCACCAGCAAAACCTCCCCCTGCCCAAACCTCCCAGTGCCCAAGGACCTCCCTTCCTCATTCCTTTCATTCTTAGGACCACCAGGGCGGTGGGTATCACTACCCCACGTTGTTGTTGTTTTTTTTTTTTTTGATAGGGTCTCACTCTCTCATCCAGCCAGGAGGGCAGTGGCGCAATCCTGGCTCACTGACTCCTGGGTTAAAGCGATTCTCCTGCCTCAGCCTCCCAAGTAGCTGAAACTACAGGTGCACGCCACCACGCCTGGCTACATTAGCCCCATTCTGGCACCTGCCAGCTGTGTGACGTTTGGCAGGCCACACTCCCTCTCTGAGCATCTGTTTGTGCTCTCTTCTGTAATCTGGGGACCATGTGCTCACTGTGCTGGGATGGGGTACCTGGAGGATGACAGCGTGTACGTGCAGATGCCCACCAGGCTGAGGTCTGGACATACTGTGGGCTCTCAGAGGCTGGGTACCATTGTTACAGCTATTCCTACTTTCCAAAGCAGGGGGGCCACCCTGGAGAAGACCTGACACTACCATCAGGGACCTGATGACCGTTCCCTAAGAGGGGAAGGGTCAGTGCACGTCAATGAGCAATAATGTTGGTGACAGTCAGAAAGAAGCCTGGCATCCAGAAGAGAGCCCCCTGGGCAGGGGCTGGGCTGGAGCCTGGCAGCTGAGCTGGGGAAGAGCAGAGCCCTATGGAGTCAGATACGGGCCTCCCAGGGAGCCCTCTGTGAATGTGCTCGGCCACTCCTGCCTTCATCCCTGCAGGCCTCAGCTCTGGGAGATGCCAGCCACCCTCAAGCTGCAGGAAAGAAGGGCAGCTAGCCAGGCTCTTGAATAACACCAAGAATGGTGCCCTGAGCCAGGCACAGTGGCTCACGCTCGTAATCAATCCCAGCACTTTGGGAGGCCCAGGTTCGGGAGGATCTCTTGAGCTCAGGAGTTCAAGACCAGCTGGGCAACACAGATAGATCCCATCTTCATGAAAAAAAAAAAAAAATTGCTGGGAGTGGTGGTGTGTGTGGTCCTAGCTACTCAGGATGCTGAGACAATAGGGTTGCTTGAGTGTGGGAGGTGGAGGCTGCAGTGAGCCAAGATTGCGCCACTGCAGTCCAGCCTGGGGGTCAGCCCCTGTCTCAAAAAAAAAGAAAGGCCAGACATGGTGGCTCAAGTCTGTAATCCTAGCACTTTGGGAGGCCAAGGCAGGCGGATCACTTGAGGTCAGGAGTTTCAGTCCAGCCTGGCTAACATGGTGAAACCCCCTCTCTACTAAAAATACAAAAAGTAGCTGGGTGTGGTGGCACGCACCTGTAAATCCCAGCTACTGGGGAGGCTGAGGTTGCAGTGAGCTAAGATTGTGCCACTGCACTCTAGCCTGGGTCCCTCACACACACAGAAAAATCTCAGAATAAGAGAAAGAAAGAAAAGAAAAAAAGTGACCTAGAACCCTTTGGTGTAGCCAGAGTGTCCTTCTTCACAAAGAACTGGAGTTGAAGGGGTGACTGCTCCGAGAGAGGTGACAGGCCCACCTCCCAGGGTCCTGGCACCAAATACTCCACCCTGTCAACCAGATCAGACAGCGCAGTCCCCAAAGGCAGTCCCTGGCACCCTCAGCTGCTACCCAGGCGCCTCCTCTGGTGTCCCCAAGAGGTAGGAGCCACGGGGTGCTCACCTTGGGCGGCACGAAGAACTCCAGGCGGAAGCGTTCCTCGGCCACAGCCCTGCGCAGGAGCAGGCGGCACTTCTGCCACTGCGCCGCGCCCCCGGGACCCGCGGCTGCGTCGTCGGCCACCATGAAGCGCAGCGCCCCCTCGCGCTGAATGTCCACCAGCTCCACCTTGGCCGCCAGCGTCCGAGACAGCCGCAGGCGCCGCGTCCACTTGTCACGGGGCTCAGCGGCGGGCTCCGCGGCACGCGGGGCGGCTCCAGCGTCGGGCTCGGGTGAGGCGCGCCGGTGCCACATGTCGCGCACGCCGTCCACCACGCACAGGCTCATGTTGCGGAGCGAGAAGCCCTTGCGGACGCGGGCCTTGATGGCCGCCTGCGTGGACACGTCCTCCGAGCTCCGCGAGTGGCCGTAGTTCGCTGCCTTGAGGGCAGAGGTCTCGGCGGGCTCCGGCTCCATGGCCTCCGCGCACGCGGCCGCGCCCCGAGTCGTCGGCTCGGCCACTAGCATGCGGCGTACCTCCTCACTGAAGACGTCCAGGAAGTTGGCGGCGAAGTGGCGGGAGAACGAGGCGCCGGCGTCGGGCGTGTCGTAGGCTGGGTTGTCCCGCAGGAAGCGGCAGAACTTGTGCGCAAAGTCCACGGCGGCCGCCTGCGCGTGCAGCTCGCAGAACTGCCGCCAGTCCGGGACCGGGACCGGGACCGGGGCGGCTGCGGCAGGGCCGGGGGCAGCACCATTCATGGCTTCCGTCCCATCGCAGCCACCTGTGGCTGCGGGCGAGAAGAGCGCACAGTGATTTTCAGGCCTGTGATCAGTACGTCCACCTGTCCCCTCCTTCCAGCTCCCCCAGGGCTCCCTGGGGCTGTGTGTGTGTGTGTGTGTGTGTGTGTGTTAGGGGACTACAGCATGCAGCTTTTCCAAGCAGCATGGATGCGTGCAAAGAAAAAGAAAAAGTGGGGCCGGTGTGTGGCTGACACCTGTAATCCCAGCACTTTGGGAGGCCGAGGTGGGTGGATCACCTGAGGTTGGGAGTTGGAGACCAGCCTGGCCAACATGGTGAAAACCCGTCTCTACTAAAAATACAAAAATTAGCCGGGTGTGGTGGTGCACGCTGTAATGCCAGCCACTCCGAAGGCTGAGGCAGGAGAAATGCTTGAGCCCCAGAGGCGGAGGTTGCAGTAAAAATACAAAAATTAGCAGGGTGTGGTGGTACACGCCCATAGTCCCAGCCACTTGGGAGGCCTAGGCAGGAGAATCACTTGAGCCCAGGAGGCAGAAGTTGCACTGAGCTGAGATTGCGCCACTGTACTCCAGCCTGGGCAACAGTGAGACTCTGTCTCCAAAAAAACAAAAAAAAAAAAAAAAAAAAAAAAGAGAGAGAGAGAGAGACAGAGAAAAGACAGAAGGGGCGGTCCTGAATTCATTCTCTCCCCAAACAGTAGTCTCAGGGAACCTCAGGGTCATTCCTGGGGCTGGCAGAAGAGGCTGGGGTGACAGATGCTTTCATGTGGGTTCCCCATGAGCCTCTGGTGACCTCACTTCCTCAGTGACCTCTTCTAAGGTCCCACAAAGCTGGGCAGAAAGGAAGAAGTCACATGGAATCCTGTTGGTTGGACCTTTGAAATAGACCGAGAACTCAGTTCCTTCCTAGAGGTCCAGGCTGCTGTCTGGGGACTCACATAACTTTTTCCTGCATGCAGTACTCCAGCAGCTTCTTCATGATCCCCGGGATCCTGATCTCACTCCCTCTAAAGTCTGTTCTTGCCTGGACGCGATGGCTCAGGCCTGTAATCCCAGCACTTTGGAAGGCTGAGGCAGGTGGATCATGGGGTCAGGAGTTCGAGACCAGCCTGGTCAAGATGGTACATCACTACTAAAAATACACAAACTGGCCGGGCGTGGTGGTAGGTGCCTGTAATTCCAGATGCTTGCTGAGGCAGGAGAATCGCTTGAACCCGGGAAGTGGAGGTTGCAGTGAGCTGAGATCATGCCACTGCACTCTAGCTTGGGTGACAGAGCAAGACTCTCTCTCAAAAAAAAGAAGTCTGTTCTCCTTGGAGCCCAGTCATTTCCAGAACTCAAGACTGCCATATGTGGTGGCACATGCCTGTAATCCCAGCACTGTGGGAACCTAAGGGTGCAGGATTACTTGAAGCCAGAAGTTCAAGACCAGCCTGTGCAACATAGCGAGACAATCTCTAGAAAAAGTAATAATAAAAAAATTATTGAGGCCTGGCACGGTAGCTCACGCCTGTAATCCTAGCACTTTGGGAGGCCCAGGCAGGTGGATCACGAGGTCAGGAGTTCAAAACCAGCCTGGCCAAGATGGTGAAATCCCGTCTCTACTAAAAATACAAAAATTAGCCAGGCATGGTGGCAGGTGGTGCTTGTAATACCAGCTACTCGGGAGGCTGAGGCAGAGGTTGCAGTGAGCCAAGATCATGCCATTGCACTCTGCCAGCCTGGGCAACAGTGTGTGACTCTGTCTCAAAAAAAAGATAATCTTGACTGGGGACACTGGCTTACACCTGTAATCCCAGCACTTTGGGAGGCTGAGGTCAGCAGAGTGCTTGAGCTCAGGAGTTCAAGACTAGCCTGGGCAACATGGCAAAACCCTGTCTTTAGAAAAAAAAAATACAAAAAATCAGCTGGGCATGGTAGTGCACACCTGTAGTCCCAGCTACTCAGAAGGATCACCTGAGCCTGGGAGGGTGAGGCTACTGTGGGCCATGATGTCACCACTGTACTCCAGCCTGGGCAACAGAGCAAGACTCTGTCTCAAAAAAAAAAAAAAAAAAAAAAAACACCCAAAACAATCTGGATGTGGTGGCATGCCTATGGTCCTAGCTACTCGGGAAACTGAGGTGGGAGAATCACTTGAGCACACGAGTTGGAGGCTGCAGTGAACTATGATCATGCCACTGTACTCCAGCCTGGTGACACAGATCCTGACTCAGAAAACAAAACAAAACAAAAAACCCCAAACCCAATCCCAAACCACAGATCAAGTCCCTCCTCCGCACACAATCCTGCAACGATTCCTATTACAGTCAGAGTGAAAGGCAAAGCTGTATCTGCAGCCCCTAGGGCCTGAGATGATCTGCCTCAGTTTACCCCTCTGGGCATATCTGCTGCCACTGTTCCCTGGCTGTGCCTGCCTCTCTTCCCTCCCAGAAGCACAGCAGCCATATTCCGACCCCAGGGCCTTTGCACACGCCTGGAGTGCTCTTTCCTCCACATTCCCTCACCTCCTTCTGGTTTCTACTCAATGATCAGCTTGGCCAACAGCCTTCCCTAACCACTCTTGAGAATGACAAATCCCTCTGATGACAATCTCCCTCTGATGCACGCCATGTACTCTATTTCCACTATCATCCTGACTGCCGGCTGACATATCGTGTATTCAGTTGCTTGGCTGTGTGTCCCCGTCCGCCCCCTTCCCCCGAGAATGCATTTCACAAGACAGGGATTTTGCCAGCCCTAGAAGTGTCTGTGTCCTCCGTGCTGGGCATATGGCAGACACTTGGGGAAACACTGACTGAATGAACACATGAATGTGTTTGCCACACCAAGCGTGTCACAGCTGTCACCGCCTAAGCCCCCACATTGGGTCTGAGGACAAACTACTTGTTTGTGACGAGACTGGTCTGGGGCTCTCACCCAGGTCTGCAGCGACTCCAGGACTTGAGGAGCCTCCTAGTGTGGATCAAATACAGCAGTTCCCTCTTGTCCAAGGGGGTATGTCACAAGACCCCTAGCAGATGCTTGGAACTGTGGCTAGTCCTGAACCTATGTCACTGTTCTTGCCTGGCTGGTGTGTGTGTGTGTGTGTGTGCGCGCGCGCACGTGCACGCACAGAGACGAGATCTCACTCTGTTGACAAGGCTGGTCTCAAACTCCTGGGCTCAAGCAGTCCTCTGGCCTCGGCCTCCCAAAATGCTGAAATTATAGGCATGAGCCACTTGCACCTGGCCCACTATGTGTTTTGGATCTAATCACGACAGCTCGTAAGTGATGAGCAGGTCATAGCTACAGTGCTGCTGTGCCGGGCAAAGGGATGATTTACAGCGGGACGCTGTGAGATTTCATCCTGCTACTCACGATGGCCTGCGATTTACATTTTTATTCGCATGTCTACTGCTGGGGCTTTCATTTAATATTTTCAGATCTCTGTTGACCGCGGGTATCTGAAACCTTGAAAAGCAAAGCTGTGGATAAGAACTAAGGTGTTTTTTTTTTCTTTTTTTTGAGACAGTCTCTTGGTGTCTCCCAGGCTGGAGTGCAGAGCTGAGATCACAGCTCACTGCAGCTTCCAACTCTGGGCTCAAGTGATTCTCTTGCCTCAGCCTTCCGAGTAGCTAGAACTACAAGCGAGAGCTACCATGCCTGGCTAAACAAACCAAGATTTTGTACTGTCACTGAAGGCCCTGCTTCTTTCCATCACAACGGCCTGGATGCTTCTGTTTACATTCCCACGTTCTGGAATCTGGTTCCCCCCAGAATTCCCATTCAAATTCGATTTTGAAGAAGCCCCAGTCCAGGAATCCCAGCTGTCTCCTCACCCCAGCTTCATCCTCTTATTCCCAGGCCCCTCCGTCCTTCAGTCCTTCACGGCTCTGGATGGCTAAACTGTGTGGCTTGGGGCCAGCCGCTCACCTGGAGGCCTTGCCATTGCCCCCGAGGGCACAGGTCCAATCTGCTGTGTGCACACAGCCCTTCTTCAAGCCAGGGGGAGTATTACCAACACTGACGAAGTGGGGTGATGTAGTGAGGGCCCTGGTTAGTCCCTGTCTGAGGAGCCAGCCCAGTGTTGGGGGACAAGGGACCATCCTTCCGAGGAATGGAGTTAGAGGGTCCTGCCCTCGCCTGTCCTTCCAGGATCCCCACAGTTCCTGGATGCCCTTCCCTCGCAGCTCCTGGGATCACCATCTCATCTCTCCTCGGGGATCCAAACCCTGTAATTAAATGCCAGGTAAAAATAGCTGCCCCACTTCTGTGAGATCATCTGCGAGGCCTCTGGGCCATAGGGCACCGTGGGAATTCCCTCTCTCCTAGGGGCAAGCCTAGTCATCAACCTGCAGACAATAACCATGGGACAGCCCCAGGGACGGAACAGGACTCCCTGCTGAGCCCGCTTAGCTTCAAGGACGGGTTTCCAAACCAGCGGTCTCCTAGGAGATCCTGCCTTGGTACTGGGGGAGGGGAGTAAGGAGTAGGGAGTTTGGTTTCCTCCAAGACGTGGTTATTGCGTTGGGCTTCATGAGTGCAAAGAAAATAAAGAGGGAGCTAGGGGCCTGAGCAATGACTTGGAGGCAGGACTTATCAGGACATTGGCGGCTGGGTAGTGGTGGTGGTGGTTAGAGTTCATGAAGGTGGGGGGAGGATGGGGGACTGAGGACCCCACGAGCTTTGCTCATGCCTGACCTTTTCCCTGCCCCATGTTTCCTCCTTTTTCCCCCTAATTCCTACTCACCCTTCAATAATTAATCCAGAAGCCACTTCTTCCAGGAAGCCTTCCCTGATACCCCTCCCTTCTCCTCCGCTGAGACCAACACAAGTGTCTCCTCTGAGCTCCCACAGCCTCCTCCTGCCTGTCTCTCTTGCATGGTGCCAGTTATAGGGTTCTCCAAGTGTCTGTTCTCATGGCTGTCTCCCCAGTTGACACAGAGTCCACTGGGACAAAAGGAAGACCTGAGTCATATTCCAGGCTGCTGCAACTTGCTTCTTCCCTGAGGGTGGAGGTGGGAACGTACCTGCCACCATCACCTCC